AACATGATGACATAGTCTAAACAATAATGTGAATTATTGATAATTATTTTTTAGTAACTATCAATAATGTGAATTATTGATAATTATTTTTATAGTGCATGTTATAATAGGATTCGCAGTTGTGTTGGTTTGTCTACTGTTAGGTAATGTTTGCTGGTTTTACGGTGGCAGTATTAGTTTTATTTACATGCGGCCTTCGGCCAAATTGTATGAAAAATTAATTAATTTAGGTAAAAAGGTTTATGATATGGTGTATCCATCAGATAAAAAAATTGTATCTCTTATTTATCCCTTTTCAAATAAGAGAAGAGTAATATTAAATTTAGGATCTCTTGTATCAGCTCGCCACTTTACGGGGCAAGTTACTAATAAAAGATTATTCACTACATCAAGTTACTGCTTAGCTGATAGAAGCAAGTCTGATGATTTTTGACGTCTAGTTAACTCTAAAACCAAAGTTAATGAGCTGAACCCTCATTATTTGGTGGAGAAGTTCTTTCAAAGCTATCCTGATCAGGTTTCCGCGAAAAATAATTTAAATTATGATCTTATTACACGTATTATGCGCGCACAAATGCCTGATTTTGCTTTGTCTCCAGGGGACTTCGATATTTTAATAAATATTCAACCTTTTAGATTGAATTATCCTTTCGATACATCTTTACCTTTATACGTTGGTAAACCATTAAGAAGAGGTGAAGGTAGTGCAGGAGTTTACCTGTTTACAAATAAGATTAATGGTGAGCGTTATATTGGTTCATCTATTAATTTAGCTTCACGTTTAAAAAATGGTTATTTCGGTAAATTACCTCTAATAGGGCAAAGAAAGATTGAGAGGGCCATTAGAGAACATGGGTTAGCGAATTTTAATCTTGACGTCTTTTTATTACCAGATGAAGTTAGGTGTTCAGTTAATAGTACCGAAACTTCGGTCAAAGAAACTTTACGTTTTTTAGTATTAGCTTTAGAACAAATGTTAATTATGGAGTTCAATCCAGAACTTAATGAATTAAAGGTTGCAGGTTCTAGTCCAGGTACTCTTACATCTAAAAATCTGAGAAATTCTTATCTATACGATGGTGTAAATAAACAACTTGTTTATATTATTAATGGGCGTAAGAATTTAGCGGAGATTCTTGGTTGTCATGAGAATGCTCTTAAACGTTATTTGGCACACAAAAATAAATTATATTTAAATAGATTTTTTATAGCTGACGATGTGTTAAGTGATCCTGAATATACTAATAATATAATGAGCTTATCTGAGTTAGAGGGCTGTCTTAATAAGATAAGACTAAAACGTAAAAGTTATTTAACTAAAGTAGTACCTAGTAGGGAAGAAACCTACTTAAATTATAGAAAAAGCGTAGAATTAACTAATTTAGTAACTAGAGAAGTTTTAGTTTTTGATTCTTTAACTAACGTTACACAGTTTATTAGTGAATATAGTCCTGAGTTCAGTAATGTAAATAAGGCAACTATTTCACGTAATGTTAGAACCGGGGTTCCTTATAGAAAACTATTTCAACTTAAATATCTAAATTAGGTCATTTTACATTTAGACTAGAAGTTAAGCCGTCGTTAACCTTTCGCTGCTCCTGATCCCCCCCCCCACTTCGTACTTCGTACTTCGTACTTCGTACTACGTACTACGTACTACGTAAGGGGGATTAGAAGTAGCACCATCCACTGTATAACCAGCCTCCCCTCCCTAAATAACCCTCTTTAAGGAGGGGCCCTTTTTTAAGATTAAAAAGAGGGTTATAATAAAAATACATTTATTTAATATAAGCCTTTTACATTAAGGGATTTCAATTTATTTTAGTGTTTCTGGCTGCGAAGCCAGCATGCGCCCGTATATAATTAGGCTCCACCTTAAACTGTTATTTTTTTGTTTTATTATTTCCTTGATTTTATATTAGTGGTATAACTTAAAAAGATATTAGTGTAAGGGCGGGCTTTCCTTTACGTTTCACCTATTATTACTAAATAAATCTTCGAAATATACCTTAATGGTGAAGGTTAAAGACCATACCCAAGGTCCCCTTACTTCTTAATCGGATAGTAAGGTAAATTAGGTTGAATTTCAAGAAAAACTAGTAAAATGAGTTAACTTGAAGCGAAGCTTATTAATCAATAATAAGAACGTTCAACGACTAGAAGTCAGTATTAAAACTACTTCCTCGAGTATACCTGCGTCAATATTTTAATCTTAATATAAAGATTAAAATAAAACGATGACATAGTCTGAACCCTTTTGTGAAAAAGGGAACAAAGTTTAATTTTGAGAACAGTTAAGTATATAAAGTAGCCATCCACTACTTTAAGATTAGCGATAATACAGCTAATTAAGCTTTTATAACACAATTGCAATTTTCTTATCAGTAGCCCTGTGAAGAATATTTGCATACCATTTAACTGATAATCACCACCTTGGATTTGAGGCCGGAATTCTTTACTGACATTTTGTGGATGTTGTATGACTTTTTTTGTATGTTTCAGTTTATTACTGAGGTTCATAATTTCAGATTCTATTCTTCTTTACGTTACAGGAAAAAAAAAACGTTCACGTTCAGATGAAAGTGAAGAAGAGGTTAAGCATTCCAGTAATGAAAAGGAAGAACTGGAAAAAGAATTAGCAGGTTATGAGCAAGATTTTAATAATATAGATAGAGCTTTGCTGCCGTAGGGCGGATAAAAAATTGCCTGACAGTCAAAAAGAGTTTAATGCTGAAGCAAACCAACTTAAAAAAGATTATCCTGCATTTTTCGTACCCTCTGCATTAATGCAGAGGGTTAGAAGATAGTGAAAACACAACTAAGGAAGGTTTAGATCAACTTAAGGAATATCTTGAAGGGGGAAGCTAGTAAAGCTAAATCTAAATACGATGAGCTTAATACTTTTCGGCCTACGGTAGAAAATAAAAAAATTAAAAAAGATTCTAGCGAAGTTGTGAATGATGGGTCTGAACCTACACCTTTAGGTGATTTAGATGGAGGTGAATAATATAAAAAATATCTATGTTATGCACATGATAAATTAATTTATTTTTCTCTTAGTATTAAATTTAATTATGCTATTTTCTATAAAGGCGTAAGCTATAGTAAATAATAGTGCGCCGCAAGGATGCTAAGAATGGCGAGAACACACCTAGGTTCTTATCCCAAATTAATGGACGGGATCCCCATATGCAAGCGTGAATGGACCCAATAAGCTCATTCGCGTGAAAGCATTGCATTGATAGGCGGAGAACTTGAGCCTGCTGTCAGGGCCTCATAAGTAATACTGTACCTTTCTCAACAGACCCTTTCTTAAATATGGTATCTCCGCTTGGGGAATTGATTGTCTATGATTAGGTTAACAAACTTGACACTGTGAAGCAGCACACAACTGGGCCCGTATCCCTGAGGCAGCCTAGTCGGATACGGTGTCGATACCCTGATAGTTTTATTATGTAATCAGGGTCCATTAAACAAACTCCCGCAGCCGACCCTCTACGAGAGTACCTGTACAGATCGACATGCAACTTCTAGCAGATTTAATCATAGCAAGGATCTTCAGACAATCGAAGGTTAAACATTTTTAGCGTTACTACGGAAACGAACCGCCTATACACAAAGCGGGCACGGAGTCACTTTAGTAGAGCAGGTGACGAAAGGAGCCAACATTCAGAGCTCGAAGAGTGGCATCTAGATCTGAGACGAAAAGCGTCTAATTTATTCCACCGGACAACATTCAGCCCTACGCTAGTCGACGGAGCTGGCTCTGTGAGTGACATATTAGCTTAACAACACCTATGAAGGTACGCGATCTGCGGACAAATGCTTAACCACATTACCTTAATTAGGCCTCACATCCATTCAGTTAGGCGAAACGAGGGTCTATACCCCTCAATGTTACAGAACAGGTCTGGAGATCGGGTAAGGAAGATTCTAATGAACGAAGGGAAGAAAAACGTATTAGGTAAATAATAAGAGGAGACCGGTACATAAGCCGCTCCATGGCGCATTATCAGTCTCTAAGGAAAGTCTATGACCATAATAATTTATATGTAAAAACACAAACAAAAGTTAAGGTATTGAACAGAAAATAAAAAGAGTCGATAAATGATGCTAGATGACTATAACATGAAGAAACGACTCTAACCTGAAAGAACAATCCCATACAAGTCCTTATTTTAGCAAGAAATTATAACAGGATATAGCTTAAAATTTATTATAACACACACAACCTCCCTTCTATTAGTCAGACTTTCTTCATCGGGTCTCCCTTCCGTGGTCAGATTAGAACAAAAAATCTCTCAACGTTTTGATTCTCAATAGATAGATGACATCTGAGTGAGGCCTCTTCGGTGAAAAGGAGGAGCCTTATAAAGTCACCTTAGAAGCAGACGAGCGTGATCTTTTGGCGAGCCGTATGACGGGAAACTGTCAAGTACGGTTCTGAGGGCAGGATAACCAATTCACTGACCCCTACATTAGATAGTAGGTTGCATAGTATAAAAATACTATGCACCTTAAAGAGTATAGTTTAATGGTAAAATAAGAAGCTTCAACCTTCCGGTTCTCAGTTCGAATCTGAGTGCTCTTGATCTTTCATGGCTAATTTTATATGAAGCCATACTTCGTAGGGTAGACGTTTACGACTACTTGGCAGCTTAATTATTAAGGTAATGCGGATAATTTCATATAAGTAGCGGCTATAAGTAAGTTTAAAAATTTCTTAAAGATGGCTTCGCTAATCCCCTCTCAAAGAGAGTAGGGATACGCGTAGCAAACAAACCCCTATAATAAATCTTTAAGTATTTTTTTTTTTTCGTTTTATTTACCCATGTAAAGCAAAACTAATAAACTTTTTTTTTCTCCCGGGCGCCTGCGGCTGGGAGCGGCCAGAGGCCGGGATATAATATATAATTTATGCCTGCTACTTATTAAAATTAAGGGTAAGCTGGCTTAATAATTTAATATATTAAATAAGGGTTCCCTTATTTAATATCCAAGGGTTCTTAGTATAATGGTTAATACATGTGGCTTTTAATCACTAAGATATCGGTTCGAATCCGATAGAACCTATACACACTTTATTTAATCTAATCCAATCCTATATAATAAAATCTTATTTTTGGCTATAAAGTATTAATAAATAACAAGGATATATTTTTTGTTCAACTTAATTAGTAGTTTATTATTTAAATAATGATATATTTGTGCTTGGTTGTAATAATACACGCTACAGTGGAAAAGTTGCTGTAGGTAGATAAGATATTGGCTAAATATTGTGTGTTAATACACGCACGCTTACGAAGTAGCAGCAGAGTGTTCGATTTATATCTTTTCTTCTTATCCCCCCCCCCCCCTACGTTGTAGAACTTCTCCTCCTGCCTGCCTGCCTGCCTGCCTGCCGTAGGGGTGGATGGATGGATGGATGGATGGATGGATGGATGGATGGATGGATGGGTGGGGGGGGGATTAGGAGGCGACCCACGCCACTTCGAACGGAGTGAAGGCGCTACTTCTCCTTATCCCCCCCTCAGAGGGGGGGGGGATTAGGGCGGGGAGTTACTTTTATCTAATATAATATAAGTATATAGTTTATATATACTTATAAGTATACTTTACTTAGTGAGGCGAGTATAAATTAATAAGAAAGCAGTTAATGAATTATAGGAAAACTTGTCACAATATATTAAATTCGTGTTTATGCTGCTTTATTTAATTAGGCTAGGTTTTCTATCCCTAATCCGTTACCCCCCCCCCCCCCTACTACTTTTCCTCCTGTCAGCCTGCCTGCCTGCCTGCCTGCCGTAGGGTGGATGGATGGATGGATGGATGGATGGATGGATGGATGGGTGGGCAGTAGGGGGGGGGGTTATGGAGGGGATATGTAGCCATAAATTAGTGTTTCGTTTCTTAGATGCTATAAAAGAGTGTCACCAGATGAGGTGGAAGAATAAGTTAGGGGGGGGGAGGAAGGGCTTACTTTATGGCGTTATTCCTTACATTTTGATCGTAAATAAATAAATTATATATTGTCGGTATCCTGAGGCTTTTTCGTTATTATTATTTAACAAATACGCAAAAATAAGGTACAATAGAGGGGATCCCTTAAGAGATAGTTATAAACACGCATGCTTGCACCCTAACTTCGTAGGAGCAGCAGCTGTAATATAACACTTAGAATTAGTAACTTAATTGGTCAAGGACTTCCTTGTCACGGAAGTAGATGTCGGTTCGAATCCGATCTAATTCGTAGGCTATATCAGATAATGCTTGCTACGGAACATTTTTAATGTCTGCTAAAAAAAGTACTATAGAGGAAAAGTTGCTACTCTTCTTTTCCCCTCCCCCTTTGCAACAAGATATTCAAACAAGAAAATGTAATTAAATCTTAACGTCCCCCCTAATAGTCGCAGCCGCAACCGTAGCCGATGATATTTCTAATGCCTGTTTTGCGACTTAACAAGGTTTAATAAAAATTGCCCATTCCCACCCGGAGGCGGGACATAATAATCTATTTAGAGCTTTACTTTTCTTTCCCCCCCCGCAGTAGTGCGGGGGGGAAGAGAGAGACATGATGACCTGATTAGAGTTGTGTAGGTGTTCGATTCGCCTTGGTAGTAAAATAATACATTGTTATTAAAGTGAGGACTGTAATCTCATGAAGGTAGCATGTATTATCTTTTGTTCCTTTTCATAAAAGCTACAATAAACCTCTCTCCAGACAGCAGAGGAGTTGTAGCGGTTCGGTCACACCTGGAATTATCCTTTCAGGTGCATCCCGAGCCAATCTATAAATCAAACTAACTGTTATTTAATATAAAAAATCTATGTCATATAATCAATTCTTATCCTGTATTTCGTTTGCATCGTCCGATTTTGCTAATTACTCTAATGCTGTACATTTAACAGCTGCTTACTCCTTCACGACTTTTTATTCTAGCCCAACCCTGTTTAGATTTTCCCGCCACGTTCCGTTTTATTTTTCTAATTATTTAAAATATCGTGAACCTGCTGCGTTAAATTCATATAGTACCTGAAATAAAGTTCCAGCTATAACTTCCCGTGTACACGAAAATAGTGTAATATTTTCAGAAGAAGGGAATGTTACAGCTTCATGTGTACTCAGTCAGGGCTTCCTAGAATGGTTCGCAGGGTTTACAGATTCTGAAGGTTGCTTCAGAATCGCTCGCAAGAAAGGTAATACTTTCGAGTTTATCTTTCAAATTAAATTACACATCGACGACAAAGATGCTTTAATTTACATAAAGGACACTTTAAAGGTAGGTACTGTAATTTTTAGTTTAAAAGATCATAAAGCTACTTTCAGAGTTAGTTCTCTAAAGGAAATAGCTTTAATCGTAGCTATCTTCTCTCTGCACCAGTCTTCAACGCAATTTAAAGGTTGTATCTTAAATACTACTAAATATCTTAATTTCCTTGCCTTTGCTAAAGCTTTTAGTATGTATTCGCAAGATAACAACCGAGCGTATCGTGAATCAATTAAATCAAAGATAGATGCTGTTATTGGAAGCATAAACTATCAAAGAACTGAGTTTTATTTGTCTCCTGATCATTATCATATTACAAGTAACTGGCTTTTAGGTTTCATAGAGGGTGATGGTTCGTTTATCTTTAGTAAGAATAATATATTAGCTATTAGCCAGAAAGGAAACGAGGAATTATTTAAAGCTATTATTAATTACTTTAAACAATTAGCTCCCGAAGAAACTAAAGTGAGTGTTAGTGTAAATCCTAGTGGACGGGAAGATGGGGTGTTTAATTTACTTATTAACGGAACGCCTTTAATTGAATCCGTTGTTATACCTTTGCTGGATGGTTTAAGCTGGCATACTAAAAAGTATCTAGATTACTGTGACTGGAAAGCTATATTGCTGATTCGAAAAAAGGGGCTTCATTATTTAAGCGAAGGTAAGGCCATGATAGAACAATTAATAAATCAGATGAATAATAACCGGTTAACTACTTCTCCGAAAGCTAATGTAACAGACCGTACGGCCCTTTTAGCTCAAGTAGATCTTTTATTAGAAAAACCTTCTAATTACGAAATTAGAGAAGGAGGTAGAATTTTTATTAAATCTTTAAATAAGTACAAAGGTACTTCTGAGTCCGTAGGTGTGGAATTAATAGAGAAAGGTAAGGAAGCTGCAGACAACAGAGGTCTTATCGAAATCTTTGACTCACTTACAGATTGCGCGGTATTTTTAGGGATCTCGCCTTCAGCTGTGTATAAAAGAGCACAAAAAGGGAGCCAATTCTTATTTAAAAATAAATTAATGTATCTGCGCCGTAGAGGATAATTTATAACTTAGGTTTAGAAACGAATACTTTAAAGTTAATCAGGCGTAAAACTATTACCTTCATTGCAGCTATATTGTGACATGTTGCAGATATTCTTGCCGAACTAGCTATTTTATTTTAAGCTATTTTCTTTACATTAAATAAGATTGATAATTTTTTTTTATTTAGTGTACAAGAAACCCACGCTTTCTATAATAAAAACTAAGGTACTGTTTAGCTAATTTATATATACGCGCTTCGCCTGGATGTATGTTTATTTCCTGAACAAGGCTATATATAAATTAATTAAAGAATTAAATAAATGAGGAAGATTAGCGAAGGTAAAGATGCCGCTGTTATGACGGTTTTTACCCCCCCCCCCTTGTTACCCTTCCTCAAGGAAAAGTTGCCAGAAGGTAGGGCGAGATATTTGCTAAATATTGTGTTTTAACACTTGGGTGTTCGATTCACCTCTTTTCCGCCTTATATTTGTATAATACCATTCGGTTATTTTTTTTTTTTATCTGGCTAGCTTCTCATTCCCCCCCTTTTTAACCTATATACACCTTGTATAGGAAAAGGGGATAAATAAAAAATCTTTCTTGAGTAATATTATGACTGCTGTGTAGTTAGCACTGATGAAAATAGCTGATACTTAAATCTTAGTTTAGATATCTCCTGCGAAGCAAGGAGTTTTTACTACTAAAATATGGCTTGCTTTGCTTCTTATCCCCCCCCCCTTTAGGGTACGCGTAGCACGCATGCATGCACCCTAACTTCGTAGAAGCAGCAGCAGCAGGGGGGGGGGGGGGGGGGGGTTATGGAGGGGATAGGGATTATGAAATAATAAACAACGGCTATCATTTAATGGTAGGATGTCTGTCTTCCAAATAGAGTGTGTCGGTTCGATTCCGACTAGCCGTAAATTCCTTGTTTGTCTTTCGGTATAAAAAACAAGGAGTCGTTTTTTTTTTACTTGAGGGTTAGGAGGGGGGGGGGGGCTTTGCCGGCTTCGCCCCCCTACATGGTGCTACTTCTAGGTTTCGTTTTAATTTCGTAAATTTAACCTTCATCTAATGTATTGTTAGCTCAGTTTACGCTTACTTTATTAGGATATTTCACTTGGTAAGGTTAGTCTAAACTGATAAGAAAGGAGTTAATGAATTATAGCGAAGCTATGATTTTGCTATAATTTCAGTAAGCAGTTAATTAGGGCTTCGTAGTAATAGAGTAAATGAATCTCGGCTGGCTTCGTAGCCTTCGCTTCGCGGCAAGCGGTGATTGATTCACTCTTGGCTTATTTCGTGACATAGGAATATTCAGGTAAATATAATTGATATCAATTTCCTCAAAGAGGTATACTAAAATTTTTTTTTTATGAACAATTTGTTTTTAGTTAATGAAACGTTTACAAATGGCTATCTAGCAAATATATTAAATGTAATTTCTTTATTTGCAATATTATGCGGTGTGTTTGTTATTATAAGCAAAAACCCTGTAGGAGGGCTCCTGCGTAATATAGGAGCTCGATTATTATGGGGAAAATTATCAAACTCCGGAAATTCCCTAAAGCTTATGATACCAAGCCGTATATGAAAATGAATCGGTGGATGAGCTAATTACTCATGTATGGTAATAAATCATAAGATAATCGAAAGGTTAATGGGCTATCGCGGATCTAAGTCAGCAATGCGGCCCTCGGGCAAAAGTATTGTTCATTTCTTATTTTCTGCATTCTTTCCTTATATTTTTATTCTTCCTTTATCTGGAGTGTA